AAAAGGATGATCAGGTATATAAACAGATTAAAGGTGAAATATTTATGCCAAACATAAAAAATTAATTTTTTACAATATTTCATTTTTCTCTTCACCTGCTGAGATCATCAATCATGTAACTAGTTATCTTGACAAAAAAGGACTCACGAATATTCTTAGGAAATAATATTATCATATTTAATTTAGATATTCAATGAAAATTATAGCGTTATAAACTTCATTAAAATCTCATGAATTACAGCGCATTACATTTATATCATCGCAGAAATGAAAAGGTGCAGATTTAATTAAACAAATAACGATTTCGATCTTGATTTTCGCAGTTTTATGCAAATGATCAAATTTCAACATTTTAACCTTTGTTTATGTTATACAGAAGCGTAGGTGTTTTATGGAAAATTAGTTGATTCTTATTGGAATCATGCATACTTTCTGCATATGAAATTATCATTTGTAAACTTCATATCATTTCTACGCATCTTGCTTTCATAAAGACGACTTAATTTATACAAGAATTAAACAATAATAAATATGCATTTTGTTTTTAGGGAAAAAACATTTTAATTAAATATTCTTTGAATTGTTATAGAATTAATTTATAAAATTTAAGCCTGAAACACCTGAATATAAATCCTACAATTTTAAATTAAATTAAAAATCGTAGAATTTATATTTAACTTTTCACATTTTTTGTTTCCTTATTTAACTTCAATTTAATATGAAATTAAATAAACTTTATTACAATTGATAAAACTTCTTAATAATAAAATTCGGATAATTATAATTTATTTTTATTTATTTACAGGGTGTTTTTTTAAGTTAAAAAAGTTTTTATATATCAAATTAGTAAGTGAAAATTGGTTAAATTTTATAATTAAATTATTATCATTTACCTTTACATTATAAAGTAATTAAAATGAAGAAAACATTTATTTTAAACATCAATTAAAAACAAATAAAACATCAATTTTTAATGGGTTTTTTTTCTTTGTCTGTCCTATGTTTTTACGTATGTATATATGTACTGTACAGTACATTATATATATTATATAGGCCTATTATCCTCTGAATCTATTGAAGATCTAAGCTTTAAATTTTAGGTTCTAATGTTAAAAGCAAGAAAAATAATTTTTATTTGCAAAAAAAAAAAAACGCAAGAAAATAATGTAATTAAACCTTTCTAACATTTTTACAAAATTGAATTTAATTATATATTTAAATTATTAATAAAAAGAGAAAAACGCTTATTGAAAAGTCATCATAACTTTTTATTTTCATTTCATTATCTATCTGCAAATGCGATAACCCAAATTAATAAAGATAATAAAAACAATAAACCTAAGCAAGATAATAGACAAAACATCTCGCTCTGCTTTATCAAGGAATAAAGGTTAGAAAAATAACCCTCAAATAAGTTAATAAATAACCAATGAGAATATCTGTTTCTGTTACTGACTAAAACACACCTCTCTATTGAAATAGAAATAAAATTCACGATACGCAGATTTATAATCACTCGATGTATTTGTTTCAATTAACGTTTATCTTACTTTCTATTTTGCATTCGATCTAAAAAATAACTTAATAACAAGCTTGTTTTTAAGAACAAATTTTGATTAAACCGCGATATCGATTTGCAAAAGCAAATTTAATTAAAAACAAATCATCACTTTTTGTGTTTGTATAAAATATTAAGAAATATTATTATTATATCAAGTACTGTATCGTGTAAAATTAATTTATTTGAATTTATTAATAAATTAATTTTAAAATTAAAAATATTATATGTTTAATTTTTGAGCTTCCATATTAAAATATTTTAAAACAAATACAATGTAATAATAATAATAATAAATATAGAAGTTAATATATTATATAGTAGACCTGTATTTTCATCTGATAACGTTGACAAATGTTAGTAGCTTTATTTACAGTGCATGCTCGCTCAAAATGGAAGAGGAAGAAATTTGTTCAGTAATATTAACCTACTTAATAACGATTTAAGGATTAAAGCAATATTTCTAGTTATAAAAACAAGAAAAAAAAGGTCCACGGCGCCATTTTTAAAATCGAGTAAAACACATTTCATGAAAACATAAATTAATTTTTGTATATAACGTTTAGACGGTGGAGAAAATTAATTTACATTTTTATGAATACCCAGTTATATATACAATTACAGGCGAGGTAAAAGATAATTTACATAATTCTTGCAATGCAAGGAAGCCTGAACTGTACGTCTTTTTGTTGCATAGCGGCTGTCAGATATTTGGATTGTTTCTAGTTATACACAAGAGATGAAACATTACAAATAAAGATGATTATAGAATAATTATAATTATAAAATTACAAAATTAGAAAAACATATAAAGGAGGTTAAAAAAACAAATAATGAGGTTAAATAAACATTAAAATATATATATTTATAAATAGGAATATTTTAAATAATGAACTAAATAAGTTTAAAATTTAGGAAGAAACAGGAAAATGATAAAGTCCTATTGTTAATCTGAATCATAAAATTAATAATTATTCAAAAATTTTGTTTCAGCTAATTTCAAAAGGGGAAAAAATGTAGAATTGATGCGGTGTTACGTTTTTAAATCTTAAGTTTTTGTATCCATTATAAACTCTTTTCATCCTTCCTTCTTTTTTAGAAATTTGTTGATTGTAAAAAATACGACATAAAAAGAAACTTCCATATTGCACTTTAGTCATAATTTATTCGATTTGTGTCACATTCTTGCTGCTCTTTTTAAATTTGGGGTGGTGCTTTTATCATAAAGAGTACGAATATGGGTCACGAGTCCTGTGAACTCATAGGGTGAAGGGAAAGTCATCCAATTATACGATTTCCGGGTGAAGTCGCTACGATTTTCGAAAGTTTAGCATAATTTTGCTTTCGTTTTTTTCTGTTTTAAATTTATTATTAACGCGTAATTAGGTTCTGCATCCGAATGCTTAACTCGTAGCTAATCTACAAATGGGATTTGAAAGCTTACCGAATCCAGAAAATAAGTATGGATTTTAAAATAAAATAGCCTTTAAATTAATATAAAAAAAGATAAAAAAATGGAGACAAGTGATTTACAAAATTAATTAATGTAGTTTTGAAAAAAAAAGAAAATTATAACGTTTAAATGCTTTCTACTATTAATCAAATTTCTGTAAATAATAAATATATATGAAATAATTCTTTGTAGAAACAACTTTTAATAGGGAATTATTGTTCTTCTCTACAAGAATAATAAATTTTATTCTAAGTATTCTTAATATTTAAAATCTTTAAATTAATTCGATTAATTAACTGTACGTTCTGTAAATAAATAAATAGAAACAGCACATTATAAAAATATATATTAATCAAAAAAATATATATAATCGAACCCTTTTTATTTTAGCACCTGCTGTCCTGATACGCGCATGAAATGACAAGAAGGTGTCATACCATCTCTTCAGTATCTTCCTCATGACCCATTTACTCTTCCAGTTACCTGATTGGCTCTTCGGTGCTTTATGGAAATCCTTTCTCCGGCTATAAAAATGTATTTAGCTTCCCAAGTTGCACGAAAAGTGGACAAAATTTGGTAAGTAAAAGAATATTCAAATATATAACCCTATCACTTCTATGTTTGAAGTATACAGGCCTATTTAATTTTTAAAAACTTCTTACATTTTTCTTTAATAGTACATCCAGTTTTTCGACTAGTAAAAATAGTTTTTAAAGATATATTATTTTATAACTAAATTTTTATATAATTTTATTTAATTCACACAGTTTAAATTTTATAGATTTAAGTGAATTTATTTTTTATATGTTTTTTATAAATTAATAGTCTATATATAATTAATTAAACAAAAATGAAATATTATAATATAATTTTAAGTATTTTAAATAAAAATTCTGTTTAATTTTTCATTAAAAATAGTTAAATTTATTTTAATAATTTTAACGCTACTGTAACGAAACTAATGTTTAATAATTGTATAGACTATATAATAATTTAGTAATTAAGCTAACAATATAAAAATAATTTATAAAATTTAAATATACACTAATCAGAAAATCCTTAATTTAATTATTTTATTTTGATTAATTTTAATACTTAATCTAATTAATACATAACTTTTATTTTGAATTTTTATTGTAGACCCGAAACATGAAAGTGCTTTTGATATTGTTAAGTAAGTTAAATACTCTAATTTAATACTCTAAAGTTTCTTTATAACGTTTTAAAATCTTAACATTTTTAATATTTGTATATAATTCCTAATTATAGAAAAAAATTTAATTAAGTATTATATATATACAATTTTTAATGTTTTTAGTTGCTGTCAGTTTAGCTTTGACAACAAAGCTAAGGGTGAGTGTTGATTAATATTTATTTCATAGAATAATTTTTATTTTTATTTTTTAATGAATCAAAATTTAAGAAATAAAATATGTTTGACTATTCATTTAAAAATTTTCTTATAATAAAAGTAAACATTTTAATAATTAGTAACTTTGATTTTAGAGAAAAAGACAAGCATACGAACTCCCTGACGGCGCACATTTATTAATTGGTTCGATCAGAACAAATTTCTTTTGCGATAAAGATGGTTATTTTGCTGATGTAGAAAATCATTGTCAAATTTTCCACGTTTGCCATACATCATTCGAAGAAGGGAAAGAGCCAAGAACTCGACAGTGGAGTTTTATTTGTGGAAATCAAACAATATTTGACCAATTAACTCAAACATGTGCTTTCCCAGAAGATGCGGTTCTTTGCGAAAGAGCACCAGAATTTTTTTATCTGAATGAAAGAATTGGAGACCCAAATGCATTATTCTTAACAGATCAAGATATAGTAAGAGCGGAAGCAGCAAAAGCTGACCGACCATTTCAACCTCCACCGCCACCTCCAAGGATTCCACCGCCAAGACGACCAGGATTTCAGGGATAAAATTTAAAAATTTATATTAAAAATTCGGTGATGGCATTTTCCCATTATAATATAATATTATCTAGCTATTGAGCAATTGTAAACTTTGATGTAACATGCTCAAGTGTTGAAATATATATATTTATAAATGAATATATAATTACTTCAACAAATTGCATTTTTTATTGTACACAAATACAAATAAAAAATTATTTGTCAATTTGTATCTTTAATAAGTGAAATTCATTAAAATTAAGAGAGCTCGAATAATATAGGCCTATACTAAAAATATCTCTGAATTAGAATTTTAAAAAATTGAAGATATAAAATATTTTAAAAGAAATTCATATTTTAAAATATTCTTAATTTTGTCAGTTAAAATATAACTTCAACTTTTTAAAATTCTAATAAAATTTTAATTAAAAAGATATTTAATACAAGTTATACAAGGAAAGGATGAAAAACTGCAACCCACTTTCAAAGCTATGAAGATTTATTTTCAACAGCAAAGAATAGAGCTCGTTGAATAGAATTTATGAAGGGCTCAACCCATCATAGACAAGTGAGATCATATATAAGTTATATATGTATACATCTATTCTCGCTTGTGATGGGTTGAACCCTCCATAAATAAATTCTATTCAATATATATCTCTTAAAAATAAATTGTTAAATAAATCTTATATATTATATATATAAGATTTATTTAACGAAAATGGATAAGTCAAACTTCGATTTAGCGCCAACATTTGTTTGCCTTGAAACTTGGCATTAAATCTATTGTGGTGTTAAATTAAAAAGTTTCAATCTGAATTCTATGCAGTAATGAAATTTCCATGTAAGTTTGACTTTGATAGTTTGAAATTTACATGAATTACTGATAAGAAAATAACGTTTGCAATGAAAAACTGTACATTTAGTAATTTACAGATACTGCATTTGATATTTTTGGAGACGATCCCTTCACAAGTATTCACTGGATATTTAAGAGAATGATGCTATTTCCATGTTTGATTGTATAAGTAATTTTCTTCTATACTGCTGGCCAAGTAAAATGCAACACCACGTAGAACTCTAGATATTGCACGTGTTGCATTTTACTTGGCCAGCAATGTAGTACAAAACAATATCTTTACAACATTATAATTGTTAGCTCTAAGAAAATAGCAAACAATATTTTATTTGTAGACTCTTTTGTTTACTGAATCGAAATTTGTTTGAGGTCCTTTACCTCAAAGTTCATTAGAAATCAAAACCAGAAAGCCAGAATTGAGACCCGACGATCATTCTAATCAAGTGGCTAAAAATATTTGATAACGTGATTAATAGAAATCTTCTTAAAAATTTATGAACTTTTATCTTATATTAACTATTTTAAGACAATTTTATTAATTTGTAAATGAATGCATGCATTTATTTATTTATTTATAACAAAAATACGATAGATTAAAATATCAGATTTACAACGATCCTCAATTCTTTATGTTACATGATATTTTATTTCACAACTAACAAATTTTTTTCAATAATGTTGATAATAGAATTTATGAATAAACGTGAACAAAATCCATTATTATTTTAAGTATAGGCCTACTATATTTTTAAAAAATATTTCAATAATTGCATCTATTATCAATGTAAAACTAAACATTTTATAAAGAGATGTAAATATTTTTTACTTAATATTTATATACATATCATCATATCTATTTTCCAGAAAGGGATAGGCAGCAGGCAAGAAAGATCACACGCATCCATTTATCATATCCCTGCAGACATTCACTCCCTCATACCTCTTTTGTTTCTGCTACCTTCATTTCTCTCCTAGCACACTTTCCCACACTTCTCATGATCATAATCTTTCACTCCAAATACTTATCATTTTGTTCCAACCAGGATTTTCTGATTGCTTCCCTGTTTTGCTTTCTTTCCACTCTTTCGAAGAACTATACTGTATCCAGTACAAAACATAATATCTTTACAACAACTCTGTTCCACTCTATATTCTATTCAGCAATTCCTTCTCGTTTATTTTCATATTCTGTTTGTTTTCCGTCATTTCCAGACAACCATCTTTGTGTTACAGGCATTCAAACACAACTCTTTACATGCTTCGGCCATCTTCGACACAAGGATCTATAGTTCTTCGTTACTCTTCGCTAACGGCACGGTATCGTCTACGTACAGCTACAGTCAAGATATGTATTTATTTCCAATTCTCACTCCACTCTTAGGTATTCTAGCTCTTTTCATACATGCATTCGTGTACACATTAAACAGCCTTGGAGACATCACACTTCCCTGCCTCATACTCTCCTGAATACTACATTTTGTCTTTTATTTTTACACATGCTCTGCTATTCAGAATTACTGCTTTTACATTATTTTACAGTAAAATACTCTATCCCATGAATTATTACCATTTAATCTATTTCTGTAGAAAATTACTGTATTTTTGCACATAAAGAAGTTTTTATTAGAAGTTTTTATAGTTAATATTTGTTTATATTTTCATTATATTACAACGTATCTTCTAAAGTATAAAATTTTTGATAATTACAAACGAAACAAATATGAAGAAGACATTTTAAATATTTTACCAAGTAACGATTGATGCTGTATCTAGTAAAATAGTTTGATTTTTCTGAAAACTTAACTGGCCTATCGGAGAAATTATTGCTGAGATCTGGAAACTTTAATTTTAAGATAAACAGAATATATTGACATATTTAAATCTCAATGTAATTCTCAATGAAAATTTAATGTAATCTGAAATTAACCTTATTTGAGCAATGTAAATGAGAAGTGGTGTAAAATTTTCAAGAACTGTTCGTCACTAAATTCACTATATAAATTAGTATCATTTGCAACGAGCATTCTTCATCCATCTAACGTCCATATTGAGCATTTGTTTTTGATGATGCACAGTACGTCTAGACCAGAAAAAATAGATGCAATGTTGACTTAATTAAAAGTATAAAACTATTTATAAACTTCAATTTTAACTTATTTTTCAAGAATAAAATTTGATATAAAAAGTAAAAAAATATGTTAGAAAAACAGGCGTATGCCTGGAAGTTGTTATAAAAATTGTTCATTATATACTGCATACTGAACAATTTGAACAATCATGATCAAACAGATAACAGCACAAAGAAAAATCCAGTCTGAATAAACTTTTACATTCTTTACTTTCAATCTATTGATATTTATTCCATTCTATTATCTTTGGTATATACTTATATTGAAATTACTAAACACTAGTGAAGTTAAGAATTTTAATATATACTGTATGACATACAGTGTATGTCATACATATATCCTGGCATGTACAGTTTATACATGCCAAGATATATGTATGATATATCGTAGATATTACTATAATGGTTAAGAAAGTAGGTTAATATGTTCTATTTCCTCCTTTCAAAGGTGCCACTATTCTTATACATCGCTTTCATGCAATGACATAGCTTTCCACCAACACCAGTAAATATATTTGAATCAGAATAAATATAAAGAATCTGATTGAAAAAAGGATGATCAGGTGATACACGGAAATTGTATGATACGTTATGTGCTAGATGATTTCTCCAGATGTGCCGCTTTTGGCACGTGTGCCATAGGTTCGCCGCTCCTGGTGTAGTCTAATAATTATACTAGGTCCGATCATCAGTTGCAGAATACTGACTACCGGAGCTGTTTTCTATACTAATCTATGCTTTACGTTTTAATTATTAGAAAACAAACTGTATAATCCTATATTTGACTTTTATTGTGAATAAAAATATTTAAAAGAGTCAATTCAAACACAGAATTATACACATAGAAAGATGGAAATTAGAGCTTGCATCGTAAGAACAACTTACTTTCAAAAATCGCATTTTTATAGCTGTTCTATTTTAAAATCTTTATAAAAACTTTAAGTTATTTAAGTTTGTCTTGATAAGCGATAACAGGTGCTTATTTTTGTAAAACTAAATAAAAGATATAATATAATTTTATGATAATTAATATAAGATTAAATTTTAGAGAGATAATTAATAAAATTGATTAATTCTTTAATTTACTAAGTTCAAAAATTCCATTCTTTGGAATTGTAGACTTGTACGTAATATGCAAAGTGAATAACAGATTACAATTTTCGGTGAGACATGACCACCTGACTAAGGTATTTATCATATATTAATTTTATCAGATAATAAGTCTATTAATTTTATTATGTAATATAGAATGTAATATAATAATGCAAAGTATATTTTAAAATTATTGTTATCGATATTAATTTCGTTTCTAGGGAGGGGTGTTTTTTTTGTAAATGGCAAAATTTTTATGGTTACTCGATTATTTTCAGTTTACTTTATCAGCCGTTTATTAATACAGTATTTAAAATTAATTTAATTTAAAAATATTAAAAATCATACCAAATAATTTAAAATATTTAATACGGGGTGTTCATAAAGTCTGAAAACAATCTGGATTTGATGAAAATGCTATGTTAATGAAGCATATTCATCGGTAAAAATTAAAATTAAATTATCAAAAGACCATGTAGTTCCAACATTTCATTTTTGTAAAATATATATAAAATAAAAAATTCTAAATAAATAAATTACAGAAAATAAATGTGTGATATAGACTAGAGGACATCATTTACTTATTAAATATTATTTTGCGGATAATAAATTAAAGGAATGAAATGCAGTATTTTAACAATAACAGTTAATTAGAAATTCCAAATTTGGAACACTGTCAAAAGCCAAAATACATTTAAATTAAGTTAAATATTTGATACATCTTTCTAATAAATGTGTTTCATCTATCAGATTTTAATAAATTTAAATTAATACTTCAAAAAAAATTTATTTAGAAATTAATTTACTCACTATTTATTGATTTATTTTAAATTCAGATACTTAAAGTGGAATTAAGAAACATGACTCAAGAGCTACTCTCTTTTATCTTACATTCATGCAACTTATTCACTCAAAACGGTATTCAGAAACAAACGATCAATACAAGTCATCTCAGAGGTGAGTGGAAAGTGAGTGACAATTAAGGAGAATCAGGAAGACCCTAAAATCACACTTAAATTAAAGATTCTGTGTGTTTACTTCCATATTTTGTAAGAATTTTATTTCTTATCATCAAATGCAACAAAAATTATTGTGTCAACGTTTCTAACAGGAAAATACATGAGACACTAAAAGCAATGAATTCAATTCAGTGACACGGCATTTATTTGGCATACATTTGAAAATACAAACGTGTACTTTCCGGTGCATCTTTTACCCGAAATGCTTGGGACCGGAAGTGCAAAAAGAATCTGTGGAGAACACTGACACATTCCCAGTGCTTTGTGGAATTTTCTATTTGCGCGTCGTATCGGCATTGAAAAAACTTTCGTATTTTGGACGTTTTCGGAAGTTTGGAAAAAGGATTTTAAACCTATATGTTATATATTATTTTTAATACTGAGTATAAGAACAGGTTCAGCTTTGTATATAAATTGCATAATATACACTTTTAGAAGCACTATCAATTGTAGACATTTACTCGCATTTCTCTTCAGTTGCAACCTTTCAGGCTTATATTCTCACATGCCTTTTTAAATTATTTTGATGTGTTCTAGCAAAACAGGGCAATCCCTTTGTCATTATATTATATATTATACATAGGCCTCTAATGTGTAAATATGTAAAAAACCTATTACTTAGACAATTTATATACAAATCTGGACTTGTTATTATACTCAATATTAAAGATAATATATAAATATACTTACAAATGTATGCTGTGTCACTAAATTGAATTTATTGTTTATAGAATCACGTGTTTTCCCCTCAGTCAGTTTTCTTTATTGTACATGTTTGCTTTCGGCCTTCAACTCCGTTTAATATTGTTTTTCGGCCGTCACGAACAATTTTCTCTGCTTAGATGTCATAACTCACACTTAAACTTCCGATAACGTCACAAAAATAACAAAATAAGCACGTTCAAATGCGATACCAAGCGACTACGTCGTGTGGTGATTGCACTTACGTCACAATTTAATGACGAAAATATGACGATTCCCTGATATGCGCACTCGTGTTAGTCACTAGAGATGGGAAATCCTATTCGGCTTCTGGAGCTGGAACTGTTCCGAGTGCGAAGCTGTTATGACGGAATGATTCCTCGAAACTGCCTAGATGCAGTTAAGGAATGGAATCAATGAATAAAAAACATTATTCCATTGTATATGGAAACGGAATAGCGGAAGTAAAACATGAAATCATATTACTCTCAAGACTGTAGAAATAAATAAAATGTTTTCGATTGTTTTCAAGTTATGTGTCATAATTAATCAGTAGCCTGTATATAATATAAAATAGAATGTTTGAAGATGTCTGTCCTCTGTACACTTCTAAACCTTTTGATAGATCCTCAGCAAACTTTTAATACATACTTGTTCTCTAGAATCCTGTGAAAAATATAAGCTAAGATGAAACCTGGTCACCCTACACCTCCCCGATTTTATATAACTTTGACAGTGATAAACATTACAATGATAGGCTAAAATAAATTTTAATATATTCGTATCTTTGTCTAATTGGACCTTGTTTGGTAACAGGATTCATTGTACTGGTGTGGTTTCCGATTAGCAAATAGAGGAGTTTTAAAAATTGTTATAAAATATTGTAAATCTGCTGAAGACCTTCAGAACACAGACAGGTGTACAAGTGAAAATAAAGATATTTTGTTTTGACTTTTTGACTAACAAGTAAGATCTCTATATGGTAATCGGAAATCCTGCCTTTACTAAACAAAGTCCAAGTAGACAAGGATACAAATAGAAATTTATAAAAAGTAAGGACAGAGGTAAGAAGAATTAACTTTTAATATGGTTTAATACTTTAAACTCTTTTTGCCTTCTAGGCATTAAAAGAATCTTTTAGTCAAACCTATCGTGAATTTGGCTAGGCACACAATGGAGCAGCTGGGTGGTGAGGTACAAAGTCCGATATATCCCGGATGACCATTCCTAAAAAAAGTCCTGTGGTTTTTTGATCTTCCCGGATTTACAACATTGTGGCATTGCACACTTTCTTATCAAGATTGCCAAGACAGCAAAGGCGCTAGCTAGTCGTTCTGGTTGATCCGACATCGAATCCGGCAACCCGCCACGAACTTTTTACGGGTAATCTTCGAGGCCCCACTTCTCCATCGTAAGCATGGCCGAACTCACAATAGACAGAAAAAAAGCCTTCTTAGTGCCCACAAGCGGAAATAGATGAAAAAATACTGTACTACAAAAAGTATTTCTCCTTAAAATTTTGTAAACTAAATATAATTTAATTGTTTTAAAAATAAATTTTAAATATAGAATGTTTCTAGTATGTGTTTATGTTACTAAGTAATAAACGAATAATTGAATAATTTATTTATATTTCAGAATTAATTACAAAATTCCAGATAAAGAACTGATAAGAATTAGATAAACAAGTCACAGGAAATTAAATATAATATTTTTAAAAATCACTTTTATGTTAACTAATATATCCAGATTATAGTTTTTCAAAATATTATAATTTCTACTTCTTTCTTTCTTTCCTCTACATGGAAAGAAAGAAAAAAGTAGAAATTAGTATAATATTACTGTAGTATAAATTCATATGGAGATTCTATTCTATTTCGAAATTTAAATTTTCTTCCTTATTGTGTAAGGCGCCCCTAGTAGCAAAATAAAGAAACAAGCGTGCGATATGGCTTATGATGTGCGATTGTATTGCGGCAAAATAAAGTTTTGTAATTGTATTTATTATTTAGCATAATTTACATGGAAGTAATTGACGAAAACGTACTATTTGGAAAACGTTAATCGCCGAAGGGATTAAACGAGGTTTTGATGTATAACTGAGATTATTATCGTAAATTTTATTGGCTGAGTAATTGTTTACAGATTAGCACGTGTTACTGATTGTTTCCATGACATATCAGTAGCAATGCATATAAAGGGATTCCTGTAAGGTTTTCCGTAAAATTCTCTGTTGTTTTTAATCTCATCGCTTGTTTTGCTATACAATAACTAATGTTAACTAATAAGTTGTTATCGATTATTCTATTTTCCTTGAGTTTAACTTGTCGAGAAGAATGCGCCGCTAAATTGAAAATTGTTCGGAGCCCCGAATCCCCTAGTCCTGTTGTTATAGGTAATTGTTATAAAACTAAGTTTAAAAAATATATATATTCTATAAACTCTTATAATGGATAAATATTTTTTAAAATTTATACTGTTGCTTGAGTTAAAGTATAGGGTAATTAATAAAACTAAAACCATTTTTAAAAAGTGTATGTTCTACTTTTGAATGTTATGTTATGAAAGTGTTTTACATTATGAGAGTACAGAGTTTTTAAATATATTTTATTCTAAAATTTAGTATGTAAAACATTTTCTATCTTTTTACTTTTCCAGCTGTTATACAGTATATGACAGAGGAAAAGTATGGAAATGATCCAAAATAACCCATAAAGATTTAAAAATTTTTGGACTTAGGGAGCCTTGAAACATTAAGAAATAGGAAAAAAACAAAATGTAGGGTTTTTCCTGCATGTTTGGATATTAGTGTGTGACATGATTTTGTTCATCCACTTTGAAGCTTAATAATTACTGTGCCTTTCATCAAAACTTTCTGAAATTTTGCAGGGAGGTTTGGGTATTAAAGGGACTGATGCTATTAAATTTTGATGGTTAAAGGTTTAGGGATTGGGGAATTACATGTCCTATCTTGAGTGGGGTCAGACTTAATGAAGATTTTATTTCTTATTAGCATTTACAACTTTTGTTTTTTACTATTATTTATATATATATACAAGTTTTATATATATATATAAAACTTGTCTCAACATGAAGATTTTTTCCATTTTATAATAATAATAATAATACACAACTCGTTGCTGGATTTTTTATGTTAAGACATTGTCAAACTTTATTAAAGTGTTTAATTATCAGTTGAGATATCTATATAAAAATAAAAGAAATGTAATATATAATTTTTTGTGTTCTTACATTTCAAATGTAGGTTCTAAAAACAACTATGCTGATTTCAATGACTTTTATTGTTAGCATTTACAGTATCTAAAGTAATGTTTTTAACCCTGCACAGTTCATATAGTTTATAGCATGATGTGTGCAGGGCTTTTATAGCATTATAGTACTATACTTGTATAATTATAGTTACTGGTATGCACCAGCGTTACTTGGCTTTCAATAATTGTCTGTTCAAATGGTACTGTACATGCGTATGAAATGCAGAGTTAGTGTCCCAGCTACAAACCCACAAACCATATGCTTTTAAATAACAAAAAAGAAACATTGATATATTTTTACTAGAGAGATATAGGTATAAATTAATTTCTTTTCTGTTCATCTATTTGCTCAGTGTCTTTTAGTTTTTTTATTTTTATTTTTTTGTGTATAAATCCAAATGTACCATTCTTAACCTAATATAATGATATTTACTACAGAACTGAAAACTGTTGTATTAACTATATAATATATATACACATATAATGCAATGCAGATGCACCAATATGATTTCGTTTTGTGAAGCATTCATTTGTTATAACACATGCTTGAATACATTATTAAAAAGTTAGTACTTTCAAACCCATGTGGCAAAGAAAGATTGTAAAAATCTTTTTTTTTTTTGTCTTTACAATGTTACATTTCCCCTTTCTTTAAACAAATTTGTACCTGTATTCCAACATTTAAAGCATGTATTGTTGGTATAAAATTTGTTTTACATTCAACAATCATAAAAAATTAAGCATTTTGTTCTAATTGGTAAAAATGAACAGTTATTTTTTTTTTTTTAAATCATTTAGAATTACTCTTGACAACAATGGAAAATTAACAATGGAAAAAAGATCTTAAATGGTTGAAGTCATCACTTGGATAACATTTGAACTCACGGCATTGTAAGGTTTTTAAATTGAAATCACAGAAATTAGTATAACATAATGTGAGACGTTGTTAAAAATTGTTGTGATTGTAAAAAAAAGAACAGGCCATGTGCTGTTTTTTTCTGTTTCCATGCTCCAAAAGTTAATCCCTTTTGTTCTCAAAGTTCGAAATGCAAAGTGACAGGTGGCTAGGTGGAGCGACATTGGCCATTTGTTTGATACAAGTAACGTGCAGAGATATTGCATCTGTGTCACATCACATAGGGATAAAAGGCTAATAGATAGCCCTTTTTTTTTAACTTAGGAAAAATTTTTTTTTATATCTAATGGCCAGAATATTATGCAATTTCAAAACTGTAATCTGTAGTTAAGTGTTACAGGAAATGCATAATACACAGCATTGTAGTCTACAATTATAATTGTACAAGAAAATATATTTCAATAAATGAGTAAATTTTATCAACATTTATATTTTAACTTTTTTAATTAGAGCAAATCGTTTGAATTATTATTTGACTATTATTAAATTTTTATTGTTACTTAGTAATAATATTACTGTATTAGTTAAAATTTTAAATTAGATGTGGATTTAAAAAATATTCACACATTTTTTTTTATAGGAAAGGTTGCTTTCTTCACAACTTTTTATTGTTTTAAAATTACTGTACTTTTGTTATAATTAACACATAAACATCATAAAAATCCAGCAAAATAAACATTAAAACTTTAGTTTATTTATTAAAACTGTTTTAAATGTTCATCTTTAGGTTATTGAAAGAATTTGTTACTTTTATTCTATTTTTTATATCTGTTCTTACATAGTAATTGAATTGCATTTCTGAAGATTAACAGTTTATGTTTGAAAGATTTAGAACATACTGTTATATAATTAAATCATTACAATAATATGATTTAATTATTTAACAGTATTTTGGTCTGATTTATAATATTTTACAGAACAATTATTAATATTTTGTGTGTATAACAGATATTGTGACAGTTATTATTAAATGTTTATTTACAGTACCAGGTGATGGGGGAAGTCAATTTAAGGCAAAGTTGAATAAACCAAATGTAAAACACTATTTTTGTGACAAAAAAACGAATTCTTATTTTACTTTATGGCTTAACTTAGAGCAAATGATTCCTTATATACTGGAATGTTGGGTTGATAATATGAGGTAAAGTATTGTTTCGTGTATTTTCTTATTTGTTAATATGCTTCATTTATTTATTTATAGAAAAATATATTTTATTTAATACTTATTGATTAAAATATTTTTGTAGCTCTGATGATAAATAGAGTCATATTAAGAAATAAAAATGCATCTTATCAAAATTACATGAAATATAAAACAATAAGTGTTGTTATCGAAATGCAAAGAAATGAGAATATTAAATTAAATAACTTAATCAATAATTTAATTAAGAAATTGGAAAATTATCTATTATTTATTTGTTATTTGAGTATACAATATATTGTAACATGGTTCTAACTCCAGCTGTAAACATACCTAAACTTCAACTTCAGCTACTTTTAAACTTTAAATTATAATTAATCTTCATATCTTTCTAAATAGCAACAAAAAGACAAGTATCTTTTCATGTTAATGATATTCACTGCACTGTACATTATTTTTTTACTAAATTACAGTGTTGCATATAAAACCAAACCACCTTAAATGATGAAGTATTGGTTATGTGAGTTTGCATAATAAAGCTTTCAAAGAAATTTTTTGACTAATTTTATTATCTCATTTATCCCATTTATTTTTCTTCTGATATGAAGATTACAAAAAATAAGATTTTAATACTATGTGCCACAAAATTTATCCCAAATTTTGATGACATTCTTTCAAAAAACCAGTTGCAAATTTTGTATTGGTTTATGTCTGTTGATATTCAGAAATAAGAAAATCTTATTCTTTATTTTTGACTATATCTTTTGGTACCTGGCTTCCAGTTTTATCTTTTACAGCTCACTTGGCCCTTTTTTTTAGAAAAAAATTGAACCCCCTGCTTTAAATTAGTGACAAGGTTGAATTTATTCCACAGATAGTTTAGTTAGTTCTTCTGTAGTTTAAATAGTAACTCAGTGGTAGTCAACCTGGTCCCTATCACCCACTAGTGGGCAATTTGAGCTTTCGTTGTGGTCAGTAGGGGTTTTGTCTGATGCTGAAGCTACTTTCTGTTATCACTGTGCATCTATGACTCACTGACAGAGCAGGTTGTACTGTAACAGTGGCCATCACTCAAGTTGATCTCGTTTCATAGTGGGGTCGGCATTGCCAGATTTAGCTACTTTTTTCAGTTTGGCATAAAAAAAAAACACTTGTCACACTGGCAAAAAAATTTGTGTATATTATAAACATATGCAAAATATAAATAAAAAGATAAATTTACTACATAATTTTACTAAATCACCACTCAAAAATTATGAGTACTTTGCAGTTGTGCTAAATTAACTTACTGCGGAACCAGTGGGCAGTTAGAAAATTTTACTACTAACAAAGATACGAAAGTGGGCGGTAGGTATAGAAAGGTTGACTATCCCTGTAGTAATTCATGCAACCAGCCCTGAATGGTTTAAATAAAGCATTTGTTCAAAAAGTTTTTATAATTTGAAAAATGTAATACAATACAATAAATGCTCATTTATACTTTCTTTTATTAAATAGCTTTAGACCTAATACTGTTTAAAAAGTGCATCAAACTAATTTGAATCTTATTAAAGATTTTTGATTTGGTAAATAATATTTGTAATATAATATAACTTGCATTTTCTGTAGATTCAGATGGAATCTCTATCCATAAAATTAAGTATAAACTTAAAATTTTTCTAACTTTAAAGGAGGGCATGGTAATTCCAGCCACAAAACACAAACATTATCTCTGCATATCTGTTACATAAACAGCATGCTTGTCACCAATAATTTTATATATTGTTTGAAAAGAAAAAAAGGTTCCCTATGTAATGAAGATAGTTGAGGAGAGATACTGATTAACGGGATGATTTGGGAGAGATCACTTTTGGAGGTCTCCTCAATGCTTGATTTAACTTCAAATGGGGTAATTCCAAGAGTGTCATGAGTGTCATAAGTGCCATTGACTTTTGTAAATTTTTGAAAGCAATTAACTCCATGTAACTGAACAGATTGTACAGTACATACACAATCTGCCCTGAAAATTTTATTGAAATCCATTCATTGGTTACAAATATATTGCATAATGCAAATAATGAATTTTATTCTTTAAATTCTATTAATTATATGGATTACTACTATTTCTAATGTGAGAAGATCAAAGAGGATGCTTGCTTTGAACTACCTCTTGCATGAAATATCCTTATATTCTCCTACATAAAAATTTAATCTTTATTATTTCATATTATGATTTTTTTTCTTACATCAAAATATCTCATTTGTTGACTTATATGATAGAAAATTATATAAAATTAAATTTATATGCATACAGGTATATTAATTTTTAATATTTTTTAAATAGATTAGTTTATAACAATGTAACAAGAACTACATCAAATTCACCTGGTGTTGATATTATCATTCCTGGATTTGGTGAAACATCAACTATAGAATATATAGATCCTAGTAGAGCGAAAATAAGTAAGAATGTTTTTATACTTTGCTTAGTCACTTCACAAAAAATCTTAGCATTTTGATTTTATATATTATTATCAATATTTTATGTATATAATTGTAATAATTATGATATTTCAATATGTATATTTCAATAATTAAGATATTTTGATAGTAAATTATGAAATTTTAAATGATGATGATATCTATTTGAATTCAAAAATTTTCTATATTTCTTCTGTTTTACCAGTATTTTTAGGAATTATATTTTGTTTGAAGGCTGCATGTTTGAAATAATGTAGGTAATAATTATTATTATTTTATTTAATATACAAATAATTATATTTTTTCCCAAAAGATTCATAAATTTATATACTTTCATTTTGGAATATTACAACATATCTAATATGTTGATGTTAGCAGCAGTTACAAATGCAGCTTTTCTTGTCCTGATCTCACTGATTTTTGATAGATATCTTGAATTGATTTTATTCTCTTTCTCAACGAGATTTCTCAATTTTATTAGATTTGTCATAAAATGTAATTGATAACATACACAATATCCAGGATGATATCACAAATTTTTAGTGGAATCTGTATATCTGGTAACTGTGCATGCCTATTGCTAATACTGTAAACTGTTCTATTCTCCTTCTAAATCTTTTCTGAAAAATTAAAAGGACAATAGGATGGTTTTTTGCTTTAAAAAATGGTGTTTGTTAGAAACTGTTATTTTCTGACAGATATTCTTGAAGGTGTGATTTTTAATGAATGTGGGTTTTTTTAGTTTGATTGTTAATGCCCCTGAAATAGGTTATATGAACTGGAAGAAACTAGGATAATAAAGATGTAAATTCTGGAAAGTCAATGTTTTGGATGACTAGATTAGACTTATCAGACAGCTTAAATTTATTACAAATTTAAGCTTTTAATAGATTAAAATTCAGTAATTGCAAGTAGCATGAAGATATATATATATATATATAAAAATGGACATGTATGTCCCTATATTTCACTTTTTTGCCAAAACTACACATCGCACATGAATGGTGTTTGTATGTGGTGGTAGCCCCAAGTCTTCATTCGTGCATAGGGGTGGTTGCGTCTCGATAGCTATAAGGGTGCGGGAGATGTGAGGCTAAAAGTGGTTGAAAGTGGCTTTCTATTTCGAATGTTTTGTTCGAATTTGTTCGAATTAAATTCGAACATAAAATTCGAATATTGGTTCGATTATAGAACGATTGTAAACGTTCCAGAAACGTTGAAAATAGTTCGTTTGACTAAACGTAAAAATTCTCTAATTAGTCTGGAAACGGGGGACCTAATTCTTGCATTCTGTGAAAACGGGTAAGATTAGCTATAATGTAATTATCTTAATCTTCACTATCGTTACTTTTTGCCCAGCGAAGCGGGTCCTTGCAGCTAGATTCTAGATTACTTAGAAAAACAGTCTTTTATATATATAAAAAAAACTATATTACATACAAATAAAAACCCAGCGAAGCGGGTCCTTGCAGCTAGTTAAATTATAAATTTAATGATAGTTATTTTTTAGTTGAATTATTATAGTTTCTTGTAGAACTAACATGATTTACACTTTACAGAATAAAAGTTTATATCATAACACTTCAACATTAAAGATGACTTAAAATGTATCATAACACTTCAGCATTTAATATAAAATGTTGAAGTGTTATGATACATTTTAATTGTATGTTTTTGTAATAATCATCAAGTATTTGTTGTCAGTTTAGAAAAATTTTTATTTTTAAATGATTTTTCATTTTGAAAAATAAAAAAATGAATTTTCTTCATTATTATTATTTCAGGTTCTTATTTTTATGAGATAGTCAACATACTTACAGCAACAGCTAATTACACCCGGGGAGTAAATGTTAGAGGCGCTCCTTATGATTTCCGTAAAGCACCCAGTATGTTTTATTAAATTGCATTGTTTAAGTGTAATGCAATTAAATTTATTAAAATAAACTTTAAAATTGTTTTATTAATACAGATGAACTTAAAGAATATTATGAACGACTTAAACAATTAATTGAAGAGACATATAAAATAAATAAGAATTTGAGAATTCTTATGATTTGTCACAGTTTAGGTTGTCCAATTACTTTATATTTTCTTAATAATCAGACATTAGCTTGGAAAGATAAATATATCAAAGCACTTGTGACACTAGCTGCACCATGGGGTGGTGCAGTAAAAGCTTTAAAAGCTTTTGCATCTGGTAAGTACAATAAATATTATTCCATCTATATTATATATAATTTAAGTTCAAATAAATAAATGAAAACTTGTATAATTTGTGATATCTGACTTTGACATACAAAATAACTGATTTTTTACAATTTAAACTTAAGTAACATTAGTTTTAGATTTTTTTAATAATTGAAGTACATGTATCCCTCATATAAGACAGTAGTTACATTTCAAAAAGGTGCTGTGTTATATGAATCTATGCTATATGAAACAAAGGACTAATGCAAAACATAGGGTTACATTCCAGAAGTTAGCAATGAAAAAGAATTGTATACTTTTGTTAAGAGAAATATGTTTATTAAAACAATCAATACTTTATTTCCAATAAATAATTAACTAACAATCACAATTAAAAGTACCATATTATGCATTAATATTAATTTTAGTTAAACGAGGGTTTTTCATTTTACAAATTGACCCACCAATGGCCAAATGGTCTTCGTTCTCTGAACACTGGGAGTTTGGTTGTGAGTTCGCACCTTGCTCAGACAGATTGGCCATATGGAGTTTTCCAGGTTTTCTCTACGTCTGTAACGCCTAAATAGGGGCCAGTTTCCCTTAAAAAGATCTCCCAGCAGGCATCCCCCTAGGCAGATCGCTAAGTGTTGCATTGTCATAACTAAACAAACAAACATTTTACAAAATATTGTTGTCATCTCAGCTTTTTTGTTGTTCTTGATCAGAAGTATCAGCAACATTTTCATATTGTCTTATTTAAACATATATTTTTTAACGTCATTCATAAAAATGTTTATATGTTATTAATTGAAAATTTGTTCTACTGATCACATTTGTTCAGTCAAGTACCAAGCAATCTTTTTCCAGAATTTGTGTTCAAATACCAAATTATTTGAGTACTGAGATACCACTGTATTTTGTTTCATTTTTACAAATGATACCTACAGTTAAAAAAGTTTAATAAAACTTTTCTAAATATGAAGATTAAACATTTTTAGGTAAGTTTATTTAATCTATAAAATGAAAACATGGTGTCAGTCTTAAGGGCTAAAGTCTGAAAGCAACAATAATAACACCTGGTTGATAGGAAAGTTAGGGCATATTTTTTCTTCCTTGTCCTATCAGTTTTCATTAAAGTAAACAGGACAAAAGCATAAAATAATTTGAAAATTTTAATATTCTAAAATCTATGGACAAATTTGAGACAACAGCATGCTTGCTTACATAAAAAATATTGAATAACAAAGTTTACACTTATAAATTGTGAAATTTTATATGGAGGACTTCCAAAACTGTGTTGTACAAGAGATACCTGTGTTTTTCTTTCTCTTTTTCATACAATGTAAAAGTTTTTATAGATAAGACTTTATTGATCATATTTGACAAACTTTTGTTATTTTTGAAACTATGATATAAATAGTAGCCTAATCAATATACTAGTTCATCACACCCAATATATGATGAACTAGTATATTGATTCATTGATTTTCTATTACAACAAATTTCATATGACAATATTTAAAGAAATTTAAGAGTTTTTCAAATGCATCCAGTGTCCACAAAAATATTTTTATTGTAATGCTATTTGTTATTAATATTTTGTATTATATTTTCAAAACAGATATAGATTATATTTGTGTTAGTCATGCTAAACTGTCAGAATGCAATAAGAAAATGCTTATTCAATCAAAAACTTCAGATTATGAGGTGTTAAATAGAATTAAAAGAAATATTTTAATCTTGCAAGCACTTTCAACGTAAATATGTACGCCGTCTTCAGGCAATTCAAAATCGAATAGAGAATTCGAACAGAACATTTAAATTTAAACATTAACAATATTAGCCCTAAGAAATTAACACACCTAAGAAAATGCTTATTATTTTTTCTATTGCATGTATCATCATAGTAGAAATGATTATTAAAAAAAATTATTTTGAACTAGATGATTCTTGATAATGACTAAGAAGGATTCAATTAGAATTTAATAAGACTATCTAAAATATAATTGTATAATTGCCATTATTTTTAATAAAACTATTAATTAATAAAAATTAAAACTAATTGTTCAAAACATTTGAAAACTTTTACATGTAATAATAATAATTTATAAATGTCAAATAGTGAAAATTATCATCAAGAATCAATACATCAGATTTAGTCTTCACTGATTGTTTAATATTCATACAGCTTTATGGACATGTTAATTTCTAATTCTTTTCTGAATCTATTTATTTTACTTAAAACATGCTATTTTAACAATTTAAATATATTATTTCAAATATGCTTTTCTAACTATGCTAACATATATTACTAAACTGTAGCACATTATATTAAAAATGCATTAATCCAAAACTATCAAAATTAGTTTTTTACACAGAATATGAAAGATGTGCCTCTTCTTCATCATCATATCATTATTAAAGATAAAATAACCTGAAATGATTGAATGCAATTTCTTCTAATAACTTAAAATTTTTCTTAGAAATTTGTTTATTTTACCTTTTAAATCAAAATGAATTGAGAGAAGTCAAAATAATTTTTTTGTACTTGAGGTACAAATTTCTTTAGATTTCTCTCAAAATCTAAGGAATATTCATTCTTTTACACAAAAAGCAGAAATCTTTCAAGCTCTAATAAATACATTTTATTATTATTTTGATATTAATTTTTGTTATATTTATAACCTTTTAAGGTGATAATCTTGGAGTTTCTTTACTTGATTCTCTAACTGTAAGAGGTGAAGAACGAACTAATCCTAGCACAGCTTTTCTGTTACCTTCAAACCAGTTTTGGAAACAAGATGAAGTTTTATCCTATACGCCTGTTAGTAACTACACTGTTTCAAATTATTATAAATTTTTTCAAGATCTTAAATATCAAACAGGCTGGGATATGTGGCTAGACACTCATAAATTAATTCATAATCTTGAATCACCTGGTGTGGAAATACATTGTTTATATGGTACAGGTTTACAAACAATATCTCAGTAAGTATCAATTATTTGTTTTATTTATATTTCCATTTTTATATAATTAGTAAGTAGTTATTGTAGCAATAAATTTAAATATTCATAGTAAAATATCCTGAAATTGAAGAAGATAATTTAAACTTAAATATGCCTAAATAAATAAAAATGTTTGAAATTACATTTTTGTTATGTTCTAATTTAAACACCCACATTATAATATCCAATAATAGTTCTAAATTTTAACAGATAATAGTTTTGCAGAATTATTTTAATCAGAATACTTTTATAGACTAAAAATAATCATTTTACATTATTGGAAATGAACAATGTACAGTGTGTGCCATTAATAAATGTCCACAGGAAAGTAATGCCGCAAAGTTTATGCGGTATGTCAGCAGGACTGGGTTTTGTTGCATGAATAGAGGAAATGTTCCAGTTAATTCATTAATGCCAAAATTTAGTGTTGATAATTGAAAGTGAAACCACATTAAAGGGTAATTAGAAGATAATACAAGTGATAAGAATTTAATATGGTGAAGTACGATTACAGATTTAAATTTTGTTACAACTTATGTTCAAAGTGGTGACAATTTTCAGCAAGACAGTAATGAAGTCTGTACTTAAATGAAATTGTAATATTTATGCAACAAAACCCAGCCCCTGCTAACATATAGCTTGACCTTCAGCATTGCTCTCCTATGGACAGTTATTGTTGGTGCATCCTATATATTTATTCATGAAAATTAAGACAGTGAAACTAAATTAACCATTCAGCAGTGACCAGTGGATATATCTGTCGGGTGATCGTATGGCACTGGTGAATGACAGATATATCTGCAAAATTCTTTTGTGGATATTGCCAAAAACTACCGCAAAAAAAAATTCACATAAAAAAAATTATGTAACAATTAAAAAAAAACATTTCTTTACTAGACATTACCATTTCGGAAAAAGATTTTGTAAACAGTTATGAGAAAAAACGTGTGAAAAAATACTTTAAAAATTTCCCATGTTTATTCTCCATTACATAGGTATAGCACCATACCTGACTAACCCACTGCTGAAAGGTTAAATGTCAGTATACAGAATTTTTTAGAAATAACTATTATTAAACAATTGTTGGTAACATTGTTTCAAATTACAGTATTATATATTTATTACTTATTAATATGTTAAATTTTAGAAACTAGATTTATTTATAAGAAGTATTTCTTAATGTTTACAGGTTTTATTATAAAGATATGGATAGTTTTCCTAATTCTTATCCAGAACTTGAGTATGGAGATGGTGATGGAACAGTGAATGTAAGAAGTTTACGAGGATGTTTAAGATGGACAAACATATTCTATAGAGAATACAAAAGTATCGATCACATGAAAATCTTACAGCATCCACCAGTTTTGGATTACATTCGTAACCTTGCTGTTGGAAATTAATAATGAAATTAAAAGATTTTAAAGTGTTATTTGGTTATTACTTTTCCTTTCAACATTTAAATATATCTACTAGCTTAAATAAATATATAACTTATATATCTATAAAATCTTATTGAATAACTAACTTTCATTACCTTTTAGACATGTATCANAAATAATTATATTTTTTCCCAAAAGATTCATAAATTTATATACTTTCATTTTGGAATATTACAACATATCTAATATGTTGATGTTAGCAGCAGTTACAAATGCAGCTTTTCTTGTCCTGATCTCACTGATTTTTGATAGATATCTTGAATTGATTTTATTCTCTTTCTCAACGAGATTTCTCAATTTTATTAGATTTGTCATAAAATGTAATTGATAACATACACAATATCCAGGATGATATCACAAATTTTTAGTGGAATCTGTATATCTGGTAACTGTGCATGCCTATTGCTAATACTGTAAACTGTTCTATTCTCCTTCTAAATCTTTTCTGAAAAATTAAAAGGACAATAGGATGGTTTTTTGCTTTAAAAAATGGTGTTTGTTAGAAACTGTTATTTTCTGACAGATATTCTTGAAGGTGTGATTTTTAATGAATGTGGGTTTTTTTAGTTTGATTGTTAATGCCCCTGAAATAGGTTATATGAACTGGAAGAAACTAGGATAATAAAGATGTAAATTCTGGAAAGTCAATGTTTTGGATGACTAGATTAGACTTATCAGACAGCTTAAATTTATTACAAATTTAAGCTTTTAATAGATTAAAATTCAGTAATTGCAAGTAGCATGAAGATATATATATATATATATATAAAAATGGACATGTATGTCCCTATATTTCACTTTTTTGCCAAAACTACACATCGCACATGAATGGTGTTTGTATGTGGTGGTAGCCCCAAGTCTTCATTCGTGCATAGGGGTGGTTGCGTCTCGATAGCTATAAGGGTGCGGGAGATGTGAGGCTAAAAGTGGTTGAAAGTGGCTTTCTATTTCGAATGTTTTGTTCGAATTTGTTCGAATTAAATTCGAACATAAAATTCGAATATTGGTTCGATTATAGAACGATTGTAAACGTTCCA